AAATTATTAATAATCATTATAGTAAGAAATTATTCTATTAATGATTAATAATAATTTAAATATAACTGTATTTCAATTATAATGCAAATACTTCTCATAATAAGTACTGACTGGTATAGTAAATTACTAATATTATGAAACAAAATTTATTATTAATTAACTATATTACATAATTACAAGTAAATATACATATATTAAATTAATATATTATAAATATACATTAAATAAATATATTAAATAATGTTAAAAGAACGGTCCGAATTGTTTTGATTTATTTACCTACTTTTGCTGTATAATTAATTCAATAATTATACCAATTTGAAAAATGAGAACTTTTGTTAAGTTAAAAGAACAATTTTTATAATAGAATAATGTATTCTGAAATGTAAAAAATAAATTTGAAAGATTTTATATGTATACATATATAAATTTTCATGAGACTTTACCAAAATTAGAAAGATGTACCAAAATTTTTATAGGTTATGTGTTCACACATTTCAGAAATAGTCAAGAATTTCAGAAATGGTCAGGAATTTCAGAAATGGTCACAGCTTCGAAAATGGTGGGAGTAAAGTGGGAGGAGCTTGGAAAGTATTTGGTTAGGAATGGTGAGAAACGTTCGAAAACGTCAGAAGTGGTGAGACTGTTCAGGAATGTTCAGAAATTCTGACCATTCATGACGATTCCTGATTTTATTTTTAGTAGGGAAGGCTTACGGTGTAAACTCCTTCATATATGAGGCATTCCATGTCAAGTGATCCGGGTGGAGAAAAATTTTTCTCCAATCGTAGCAAAACTTGGGGCTTTTGTAGTACTAATAGATAGTAATTTTTCGTGAAAATATTTTTTTACCTAGTCCAATATTTTCCGAGGGGGAGGGGGTTAAATTTTTGGGTTTTTCAGTACAATGCTTATTTCGATAATTTTTTACTCTTAAACTATTAAACATACAAATTTGGCAAGGTACATTTTGGAAAGGTTTTTTCATGCTCTTTCGATTGAAAATAAGCATTTAAAAAAAAAAATTTTTTTTGACCCAAAAAAATCAAAATTAAAAATAAATTTTAATTTTTTGGAAAAAAGGTCCCATTTTTTTTTTTTTTTTTTTTTTTAAACGAAAGCTGAGGTTTTTTCCTAAAAGGACATATAAATGAAAAAGTGGGACAAGAATGTTTAAACATTGAAAAAATGAATTTTCTCGTAAACAGAGCTAAAAACCGGGTTTAGAGAGTAGAAACCTCTGTTTTTCAATGTTTAAACATTCTTGTCCCACTTTTTCATTTATATGTCCTTTTAGGAAAAAACCTTAGCTTTCGTTTAAAAAAAAAAAAAAAAAAAAAAATGGGACCTTTTTTCCAAAAAATTAAAATTTATTTTTAATTTTGATTTTTTTGGGTCATAAAATTTTTTTTTTTTTAATGCTTATTTTCAATCGAAAGAGCATGAAAAAACCTTTCCAAAATGTACCTTGCCAAATTTTTATGTTTAATAGTTTAAGAGTAAAAAATTATCGAAATAAGCATTACACCGTAAGACACCTGGATCACTTGACATGGAATGCCTCATATATATAAAATATTTACTGTATTTAAACGTTAAATAAACATGAATAAAATCTATTATAAAATTTATTTTATTGTCATTTACTATTACTTTGGCAAGATTTCAACCAGGCCTCTCACTGAGTTTTTCAATAAAAAATAGTGTCAAAAGTGGCATAAAATGTTCAGAAAAGTGGCAAAATAGGGGCATATTATTTATTATGAAGCGATACAATTGCTCCTGGCAAATGTGACTGGTCCGACTTCCAAGTAGTCTTTTAAATTATTATAATTTCCGTGTCCTCTAATATTCGGACTGTGGTGGGGGTTTAGTGTTGAATCGCGAAGTCGATGAAAAGTGTGATCAATTAATTAATTAATTGACTTTCGCAATTCGTCGACACCGATTCAACAACGGCTACGCTCTCACGTGCCGGCCGAGGAAAGTATGGCATTGAGGGCACGAGCGAAGCGGGCGCAAAAGAACAGCAAGCGGGCGTAAAAGTACTTTGCGCCCGCTCGGGCTAGATGAAGCGGGCGCAAAAGTACATTTGCGCCCGCTTGTGTGACGTCAGCGGGCGTAAAATAACTTTTGCGCCCGCTTCCCCGGCCCCGGTCGAGAATCAGTTACTTTGCGCCCACTTTAAGTGCCCGAAATGACATACTTTTCGTGCAGGTAGGACAAAAAAATTTTTTGTGCAGTTTTGTATAGTAATAAGGTAGGAATGATATACTTGTAGGTTGTTTTAAGACCATAAGAATTTTTTTTACTTAATTATGAGTTTTCAAAGTTAGGGTATAAAAATATTTTAAGCCGATAATAGCTTCCTATTTCGTGAAAAATCTAAAGATAGATAATATTTATAAGATTTGGTAAATATTACACGGAGAAAACTGGAGTATTCAACTAACTATCTGCGGAGGGACAAACAGACTATATATTCCTGGCAAAATTTGGAAAATTTTGAGTGGTCTTAGAACTTTTTTGGTTAAAAATTCGCTGAGTTACGGAATTTCAAAGTTTAGAACGCCAAAAACCTCATTTCGAGAAAAACGGAATTAAAGATTGCGATACCAACTAATTGTTGTATCTCTGGTTCTTCTTGGAAGTTATTCAGATAAGAATTGTTTCCAGTTCAGGGCACCTTGAAGATAAAAAAACCAACAGGTTTAAAATTTTTAAAACCATCCTCTCCCTCTTAATTTTGAAAATACGACAAATCGACAATATGGGCCCTTTTCTAAAAAGGACAGTTTTTCTTTTAAAAAACCATTTTTTTACAATATTAATAATTAGGTACAATTTTATTGTGTCATTTGAAGAAAAAGAATAGATATATTAAACTTATTTAAAATTTTTTGACAGTCTCTATTATGCAACCCGTGTAGAAATTTAACCATGGCCCAAATCGGGGCCAGATCTTTTGATCATTCTGTAGGCCATAACATGGCAATTTCTACACGGGAAAAATTGACGCAATATCCAAATTTTCATTTCGACAATTACGAAAAAAATGACTCTAACATCAATATCTATGGTTCTTCTGGAAAGTTATTCAGATATATTGTTTACAGTCCAGGACATCTTAAAGATGAAAAATCAAGAGGTTTTAAATTTTTTCACACCTCCATTTTTAAAATACGGATTACTTTTGCAAATGATCGACAAAATGGGCCCTTTTCATTTTTCTAAAGAACCAATAAAATTAAACAGTTAAATTATCGATAAATTAATGGAAACCGCATGATTCGACTTGTCAAAACATGTAGATTGATAATAAAAAATAAAAAAAAAATTAAGATTTTGCTCCAAAATTACTAAATTGCGATTATCTCGAAAACTAGAACCGACAATATGGGCCTTTTCATGTGGACGTCCACAAATAATGTCCAATATTATAGCGATCAGTCAGACTGCGCAATTATAGCGGTATAGTAAAATTTTGCAGGTAATTAATTTAAACGTAATTTTTTTGGCATCTACAGTTACAGGGTGGACACTAAAATTTGCTGATAAAGTTCAATGTCAATTACAGGTTTCTTCAGGTTTTTAAGAAATTTCCAAGGTTTCAAAATTGCATTCTGCATACAAAAATGTAAATTTGACAAGCAAAAAAAATTATTTATTTATCAATAAAATTAGTAAAATTCAAGATTTAAGAAAAAATCATAATTGAAGGGCTACATAAAATAAGGGGACGAACGCATGGTTGAAAGGGATAATATCAGTCAGGTAGCAGCGAGCGGCTCAAGGCCTGTCACTGCTACCCGACTGGTAGTATCCCTTCCAAGCCTCGCGTTCGTCCCCTTATTTTATGTAGCCCTTCAATTCCATGTTATTTCAAGGTTTTACAAAATTCACATCTAATTACAAGTTTTCAAAGTTCAATGCCTGGTGGCCACCCTGAGTTAAAAATTGAACATTGAAGGTTAAAATTTAAACATGTGAGTTGAAAATAGTGTCTTTATATAGTGGCCTTTTTTTTACAAAAAAGTGACATTAGTGGCATTTTTTTCAAAATAGTAGCTAAATAGTGGCATCAACTGAAAAAAGTGTCAAAAAGTGTCAATAGTGGCATGAGTGGGAAGCCTGTCAACTATTTTCATAAATAAAAAAATTCTTCAAAAATTCAATTATTATTCTAAAAAATTTTGATAAAATTCTTCGCAAGAAATCAATTATTTTCGAAAATTTCAATGAAATTCTTTCCAAAAATTCAATATATCTCCATTAATAAGAAAATTCTTTACATAAATTCAATTATTTATAATGCAATTTTAATAAAACTCCTTTAATTTAAATAACCGTGATTACTTAACTATATTATCAATTAAATATTTCCTGGAATAAAATAATTTTTTTTGGATACAATTAAATGGTATTTGTAATCGGTTATTTGAATTAAATACATTTTTTTCAGTGTAGTTTTGGTTGAAAATATTTTAAAAAGTTCACAAAATAGGTGAAAAAGGTAAAATTTAACGGAATAGGTAAAATAGGTGCTAAAATTAAAAAAAAAACGGTAAAAAGGTGACTTTTTGCGATCCCTGAATTTATATTCCTATTTATATGAAATGTAAATATTAATGTTTCTACTGCATTCATGGTAATTATTTTTATTCACATTCAAAACTTTATTTTTCAAATCTAATTTTGTTTATTAATTAAACCAATCTATCTCTTTTTATTAAAATTCTAATTAATTAACCAAAAGATGAAAAAAATGCATTTCTACATAGATGTATGACGGGTTGCCTACTGTATAATTTAGTACAATATATATTCCATTAAAACAATTCCTCAATGTTTATAGTTAATAATTATTATAATTAACAACATAAGTTAAAAATTTTAATTAATAATATTAGTTTACAACATTAGTTAGCAGTAAATAAATTTTAAAAATATGAATTAATTTTCAAATTTGCCACTAGAGGCAGCATCTCCCACTGCATAGAATAAAAATCCAATATGGCCGCGGCCACGATACCAAATAAAACGTCAACTTGGATGTTATTAGCGGCAAAGTGGAATTATCGTGTTATTTTAGTTATTTAGTTGTTTTAGTTAAAAAATTAACAGAAAAAATGATAACACCAACACCAGTTATTCCTCGTGTTTTTTCCGCCATTCAAAATGTAAATACAAAAGAATTAGCAATGTGCTCTGAGAAAGAGGTACGACCAATTTTACCATGTTTGGTTAGAATGAGTTTAATATCACCTCTGGATATAACAAAAGAATGTGTCGAGGCAAGAAAAGAAATTTTAACAATTCTCTCAGCAATTGAATCAGTCAATTCCATAGTTGGTTTACTGTCAATTGATTTTCATGGTTTGGAAATTGACGTCCGGAAAGAACAACAATTAAGGTATATATTTTCTATTTAAAAAACAGAACATAAACAATTGATTTGTATTTCGTTACTGACTTTGGAAATAATTACAGAAAGTTGAATAAATTTTTAATTTTATTAGCGATTGATTCACTATTCTGTGCAATTACTTCTGGATGTGTTAAAATCGTGGCACTTTTTCCATTTTTCAGAATTGACACTGGTCAGAGAAGTCAGGGATTTTTCGTTTTATTAAAAGTACTGGAAAAAATTCAATTTTTTGAATTTATAAGAAAATTCTGAGTTTTTGGTGTCTTTTTTATTTCCCTCATAATCTAGAAAATTACGACGAATTCTAATATAAAACCTTCAATTTTTTCTATTTCTGACAATAATTTCTCTTTAAATAACTTAATGTTTGAAGAAAAATCATAAAATTATTACTTACAAATTACTTAATGAATAATTTTACTTAAATGTCTCAAAACTAATTGAATTGAAAAAGAATTCAATGATTTTCAATATCTACTATTTTAATAAAATTTTCGAAAAGTATTCAATTATTTAAAAAAAATTTTGATAAAATTCTACGCAAACATTTAATTATTTTCATAAACATGTAATATAAAATTTTCACAGAAATTCAATTATTTACAGGTTTATTATAAAATTCTTTCCATTAATTCAATTATTTACATAAATCATACATTGTTTACAGAGATTCAATTATTTTCATAAATAATAATACAACTCATCGCAGAATTCCAATTATTTTTAATACAATATTAATCAAATTCCTACAACAATGTAATTATTCTTAAAAATTTTATTAAAATTAGTGAAAAGAATTCAATTATATAAAAATTTGTTGATAACATTTTTTATGAGAATTATAAAAATACAAAAGTATTTAAATAATTGAATTCTCGTAGAATTTTCTAATAAAAATGAACTTAAAAATGATTCAATTCCATTATTTTCAGAAATAATAAAATTGTTCGCAAAAAGTTAATTATTCTTAAAAATTTTATTAAAATTCTTTAAAAGAATTGAATTATATTTTTTTAAATACAATTTCAATCGAATTTCTTGAAAAATGTAATTATTCTTAAAAAATTTGTTAAAATTCGTCGAAAAAAGTCTAATAATAATTTCATTATTTGTTGATAAAATTCTTTATGAGAATTCAATTTTAAGAAACATTCAATAAATAAATTATTTATTTGTGTACTTAAATAATTGACTTCTCGTAGAATTTTCTAATAAAAATTGATTTGAAAATGAATTTCTGTTAAAATTTTTGATAATTGAATATAAAAAGCATTACATTTAATACCTTTCGAAAAGGTTTTAAATTAAAATCTTTGAAAATCTGAATTTTTTATTTAAAAATAATTAATGAAAATTTTGTCTGGAAATCAGGGAAAAATAAAATAAAATTTTTATGACAACCCTGTCTTGGTAAAATTTGATTTAAACTGAATTAACAAATTGAAATTTTTCTAAATGACCAATAATGTTTATTCTACAATTTGTCTTCGAAAATCTTTTCTCTAAACAAAGTTATCTTTCTAGGCAAAAATTAGGAAACAGCCAGAGTGACAGTGTTCTCGCTCAATCACTTCAAAGTGGATTGGCACTTGAATTCGAGAGAAGTGAAGCATCACGACGGATTCGTCTCGTATTGAGTGAAATTCTCTTCATCTCGTCCCAAATACGAGAACAGGAGAAAAATGAGGACTTTCAAATAAAACAATCCGATCTATTCGACAATGCAGTTTATATGGAGGAAATAAGTTACGTTATTTGCATAGCACTCGCCGAATTACCCGATCTCTTATCAATACCAGTTATTTGCGAAACTCTTCTACACGTGAATCATGGACCCGAAATAATATGTTGGGTAGTGGCAAATAGTCCCGACAGTTTCACCGAAGTGTGCACACATTTAATAGTCAATGGCGAAAGACAAGAGGAATCAAATCTCGGAAGTATTCGAACGCAAGCCTTAACAATGTTATGCCGAATGAATCCCAGTCAATCACTCGCTGTTCGTGCAAAGTGCGTCGAACTCTGTCGAATGCCAGCACTCGCAATCACCCTCAGTCTTGAAAACGAATCAATGAGCAATTCGCCCTATCAAAGCGATATGGTTGCATTTGTCTCCGGTCTTCTTTTAGGAAACGATCAACAGGTGAGAAATTGGATTGCAATGTTCATTAGAAATGGTCAGAAACGAAAATGGGAATCACACACGGCTCTACAATCACTACGTGAGGAATTATTGCGGAGACTGCAAAATATTGTTTCACACAGTTCAGATTCACAATTAGCCGAATCTCACGTTGTGCAAGCAAGTGCACTACTACGACTCTATTGCGCTCTGCGAGGAATCGGAGGAATTAAATTTCAGGACGACGAGATTTCAATGATTGTCAAACTATTGACTTCTCATCCACCACCATCGCCAGCGGGGGTACGTTTTGTCTCCCTAGGACTGTGTATGCTAATCGCGTGTCCTTCTCTGATTAGTCACACAAATTTGGAAAAGAAGAGTATCGAATGGGTCCAGTGGTTGGTGCGCGAAGAAGCCTATTTCGAAAGTGCAAGTGGCGTTTCAGCGAGTTTTGGCGAAATGCTCCTCCTCATGGCCATTCATTTCCACAGCAATCAACTGTCCGCAATCTGTGAATTAGTTTGCGCAACCCTAGGAATGAAAATACCCATCAGACCCAATAATCTCACAAGAATGAAACAAATATTCATGCAGGAAATATTTACCGAACAAGTCGTCACAGCACACGCGGTTAAAGTTCCCGTAACTGCAAATCTAAACGCAAATATTCCCGGCTTTCTTCCCGTTCACTGCATCCATCAACTGTTAAAATCACGAGCGTTCGCCAAGCACAAGGTACCAATCAAAAATTGGATCTACCGTCAAATTTGCGACAGTGTACCACCTCTACATCCAGTTCTGCCCGCACTCGTCGAAGTCTACGTGAATTCAATTTTAGTCATCAATAATAAAGCATCCGATCACACAAATAAACCAATCACCGAAGATGAAATTCGCAAAGTATTTCAAAACAGTGTCTTCGGGGCAAATTTTGACTCGAAAAAAAGTGTCATGAGCATCGTTGAAATGGAAACCGATTACATGGATGTCGATACATCAAAGCCATCATTAACATCGCAATTATTATTTTTATACTATCTTTTACTCTACGAAGATGTGAGATTATCAAATATGCATCATTTTATATCACAGGGGAAAAAAGTCAAATCATATTCCACGGATTTTCTATCTGAATTACCAATCAAGTATCTATTACAACAAGTGCAACGAGATCAGATAAGTTACGCTGGTCTATTTTCACCACTCTTACGACTATTAGCAACACACTTTCCCCATTTATCGTTGGTTGACGATTGGTTGGATGACGATATGATCAATATAAATTCAGTCACATCGAATCAGGAGAAATTGACTATTAATGATTCATCAATTATCGAATCATTTGGACATATTAAAACATGTCCCTCAAGAACAGGACGATTATTGCGACAACTTTTATCAATGAAACCTTCCGATATTTGGCCCCACGCTTCCATTATTATTCACTATTTCAAGGCGATTCTCGATGAGAAAGTGCCTAGATATATTCAAGGTGAGTCAATTTTTTATATTTATTCGATTCATCGAGAAATTAAATCTATATATTTACAAATGTGCGATTCCATGGGAGATTTTAGTTTTTTCGGAGTAAGTAAACCAATTGCAATGAAACTTAGGAATTTTAATCTACACATAAAAAGAAACATTTCCACCAAATATTACGTCAAAATATTCAGTAGTTTTTAAGATGTCAAAATTTTGGAAAAATTTTGAAATCGTTATATCTTCTTTCCATCTTAACCAAATCACTTAATTCTTTTTGGAAAAAATTCAGCATAAAAAAACGAAAAATTTTTTTATATTATGTTTATAAAAAATTTTTATAAACAAAAAAGTTCTTAAATAATAATTGAATAACTTTTGCACGACTAAACGAAATTGATTGAGACAAACACTGAACAAATCTTCACTGTGTTTTTTTTAAGATTCCGAAAAAAACATGGTACATCACGAAACATTTTTATACAATATTTTAATATTTTTGTTCACTTTTGAGCGTAAACATTAAAAGTTTCTGCTACTTTACGTGCAAATTCAGATGCGCGCGCAGACCTCTCTTTCTAATCATCTACGAATTTCCGGTTTCAGAGAGAGTGGTCTGCGCGCGCACCTGAATTTGCACGTAAAGTAGCAGAAACTTTTAATGTTTACGCTCAAAAGTGAACAAAAATATTAAAATATTGTATAAAAATGTTTCGTGATGTACCATGTTTTTTTCGGAATCTTAAAAAAACCACAGTGAAGATTTGTTCAGTGTTTGTCTCAATCAATTTCGTTTAGTCGTGCAAAAGTTATTCAATTATTATTTAATAACTTTTTTGTTTATAAAAATTTTTTATAAACATAATATAAAAAATTTTTTCGTTTTTTTATGCTGAATTTTTTCCAAAAAGAATTAAGTGATTTGGTTAAGATGGAAAGAAGATATAACGATTTCAAAATTTTTCCAAAATTTTGACATCTTAAAAACTACTGAATATTTTGACGTAATATTTGGTGGAAATGTTTCTTTTTATGTGTAGATTAAAATTCCTAAGTTTCATTGCAATTGGTTTACTTACTCCGAAAAAACTAAAATCTCCCATGGAATCGCACAAATAGCAACATTTTTCTTCAATTTTTTATTTCTATTAGCAGAGATCATCCTAACATTTTAATTTCCATATAAGCAGGCTTCGGATTTTAAGTATGACTTTTTCGACTATTTTCAAAAAATTCGACATTTTTCTTTTTTTTCACATATTGCAACAAAATATGAGGTATTTTTAGTATAATATACAACTTATTTCGATTTTATAGTGTAAAAAATAACAGTATTAAACTATTTATAAAAGAATAAGTTTTTGGATATCTTCTAAATTATATTAAGGGATTATACTACCCAGGCACACTGAAAATTGAACGTTTTTTTCGAAATTTATTTCTTGAAAACTATTGTATGGATCAAAATAAAATTTTGAGGCTTTATTATAAACATTTTAAGATACAGAAAAAAATTTTCATTTATAACTTTTGATACAAAATAGGGCATTGACCGATGATAAACGGAAAATGAGTTTTTTTCGAGAAGCGAATCTGTGTACAACATAACATTCTGCAAACAGCACCAAGAGCAAAAAACAAAATTTTTTGTTAATCTACATTAGTTTTGCTAGAAAAGTACCCACGATTATTTATTTTTATGAAAAATTCGCAAATTGGCGTCAGATTAAAAAATTTTCTTTCAATTTTTAAATAAAAATCGAGTTTAAATTGTTCAAAACAATCTTAATTATTTATGAATCTTAAAAAGCGTGTGTACTTCCTTAGATAATTTATCTAAGAAGTTACAGTTAAAATTCCAAATGAATCGGTCAAAAATTGAGCGAGTTACAGTGTACGCAGTTTTGAAAAATGTAGTTTGGAGAAAATCGGGTTTAAAATTTCAGGACGCATTTACTACATGACATTTAAAATAGCGATTTAAAATATATAATATAGTATTACATATCATTCTTGGATAGTTTATGCATCATTTAATCAAATAATACACAGGAAAAAAAGTCTGACTCCGTTTACACCTTAAATTCAGCCCATGTATTTCACATAAGTCTGTCCTTGTTTAACGGGGCTGACTCCGTTTACACCTTAAATTCAGCCTCAAAAATAGGCTAAAAGTAAGACTTTTTTTTAGTGTGTAAAATAAAAAATAATTACTTATAATGAAATAAATAAATTTTTGTTTTTAATTGGAAATATTTGATTTTTGTCAAGTATTTTATTGCAATTTTTGAAAATCACTTTTTGAAAAATTGTAATTGCAAATTTTGAAAATAATTGCAATCACAAATATTTTAATCCTATTTAGGCCTTTATATTTTTACAAAATAATTAATAAGAGAAAATTAAATTGCAGAATTGTATAAACAAGTATGGCTGAGATTGAATACAGTTCTACCGAGATGTTTATGGGTTTTGTCGATAAATTCACTATTAATAGAAAATTCAACTGTGAAAAATGTTTTCTTGACGCAAGAAAATATTGTCTTGGATCCGTTGCAAGTTCTAAGATGTGACACGAGAGTTTTTCGATGCGCACCTGTGTTGTCAGTGATTCTTCGGTAAGCAAATAAGATTATAAAATCTTCTATATGATAAAAAAAATCAAAGAATTATTATAACATAATTAACATGACAAAAAATATTTTACTCTACAATTATTATAATTTAACAAATCTAAATTTTTAATACGAATTAATAATAAATTAATTATACCTACACGATTCTTACAAATTTTCAATGAAATTTAAAATTATTTATTATTTTAAATTAAATATTTTCTTAATGATATCTATTTAATTATTATTATTTTATAAATATTGTATTACTAATATTAATATTGTTATTATTACTATTACAGGGATCACAAACATTTTTCCACGTAATTTTAGACAAATTATTAGCAATTTTTATTTTTTTATGTCATTTGTTTTCACTAACCTTAGACTACTAAACTTATTTTGACGTAAAATATAAATAATTGAGACCTCGGATCGCAGAACTCGACCTCCGCGCGGTTGCAAGGGATAATACAGGCATCACAGTTGGTCCCCTTTTCCCCTTTTGTCCCCTTATTCCTTATTTCAATTTTATACCCTTTTTAACATTTTTTGACGATTTGTCACCTTTTTCCCCTTTTTTGCTGATTTGTACCCTTTTCACCTTTTTCTAATAAAAAATAAACAACTTTTTCTTTTTCTGAAATTTTTTTCAAAGTGTATAATCATAAAATTTAGACGCAAATTTATAGAATTCAGTGCGTTTCATATCTGATTTAGATTATTAACACCACAACATAATATAAATATGTTTTTTTATGTTAATAATTTATATAATATAGGTATCGTATAAAGAATTTTATAAATTATAAGGTGGTTCATTCAACAGAATGCAGACCTTTAGAAAAATAATTAATTAACATTTAAATATTATTATTATAATAGTTTTTTCTAGAAAAAACAAAAATTTTAATATAAAACATTCAATTTTTTCCATTTCTGACAATAATTTCTTTTTAAATAACTTAATTCTTGAAAAACTATCATAAAATTATAACTCAGAAATTATTTAATGAATAATTTTATTTATACATTTCAAAATTAATTGAACTTTAAAATAGTTTCTTTTACAATTTTCATAAATAGATGAACTTAAAAAGAATTTAACTTCAAATTTTATAAAATTTCAATTTTTAATGAATTTCATTAGAAATTCTAAAAAACTTACATTTTTGCAAAAATTTTCAAAATTTCAATTTTTCTAAAATTAGTTAAATTTTTTAATACATATATTTTATTCATTACTTTAAAAATAATGAATACTTTATTTCTTTTTTAAAATTTATATTATTTAATTACTTATATTAAGAATTTATTTATTTATAATAATTCCTTACATTATCATATTTTATAATAATAATTATAATTACTGAACAAATTACTTGCTTTCAATTTCTACATTTACCAACTAACGTTGGTCAATATGTAGGTACTTGGGAAATGTACATAATTTCTTCTGAGAATGATAGATTATTCACATTTACCAAAAAGCCCGGTAAATGTACACATTCGCCGGTTAATGTGCACATTCACCGGACTTCGCACTTTAACCGTAACATATATATATATATATATATATATATATATATATATATTTAATTAATTATTAAAAATAATAAATTTATTGAGAAGTTTTAGTTAAAAACACTAAAAAAAATTTTAATTTTGGAGAAGTTTCAAATAATTGCAAAAATTCAATTATTTTAAAAAATAATAAAATTCTTCGCAGAAATTCAATTATTTTAAAAATTTTTTTAAAAATTCTTTGCGAAATTTCAATTATTTGCAAAAATTTTCCTAAATTCAATTATATACAATATCTACTATTTTAATAAAATTTTCCACAAGAATTCAATTATTTAAGAAAAATTTTAATAAAATTCTACGCAAACGTTTAATTATTTTCATAAATAATAAAATAATTTCACAAGAATTCTATTATTTACAAATATTTTATAAATTTCTTTGCAATAATTTTATTATTTTCATAAATAATCAACTCATCACAGAATTTCAATTATTTTTAGTAGGGGAGTATAGTCGAGGTTGGACCACTGTCTAGGTAGGCCATTCGCGTTTTTTTGTCAAGTTCACTAGCGCCACCTACGCGCATGCTTGTCGAAGCTTGTCTTAGTAAAACCTAACTTTTTGTTCAATTACATTTTCGGAGAATCGAAAATTGTGTTTTCTGTGACGTCGGTACAAAAAAAGCTCAAAAAAAGTTTTGTGCATCATGTAAAAAATCATTAATAAAAGATAAAAAAAAATTAAATCGTCAAGGCAAGCATGCAGAAATTTTGTGGGACTCATTGTTGAAAGAAAATCAAAGTGAAAAATCGAATCCCGAAACGTATTTCTTTTTAGTTGCAACAATTCGGTAATGTTACTTTCTGTCAAGGTCGGCCACTTTGTGTTTAAAATGCGCAAAGATGAGGACGAGCTTCTTCATTTGCAAAAACTGCAATTCTGTATAACTCATAATATAATTTATCATCTTATTAATATTTTTATTTAATTTTATTAATATTTCAGTGCAAAATTTTTTTTTATTTATATTTATTTTTTTATATTGTTTATTTTTATTATGTTGTTATTTCATTATGTTACAAACTGTAAACAATAAAGAATCAATTTTCCGTAACTCCAAACATGTTATTTTATTTTTTAACGATTAATGCCCTTTGAATTTTAAACATGGCCGACCTTGATTGTAAGGACCAACGTGGACTAAAAATTTTTTTTTTTAAATCTTTATAACTTTTTCATTTTAAAACCAATCAATTTACTTTGTACAGAAAAAATGTTCCTATTAAACAGGACTTTTCAACCATATACTTCAATTGTCCAAATTCATTAAAAAAAAGGTATAAACAAAAGTCAAAAAGTGGGCCGATCTCGACTATGTTCCCCTATAATTTTAATCAAATGCCACGAAAAATGTAATTATGTTTAAAAATTTTATTAAAATTCGTCGAAAGAATTTAATTATTTAAAAATTTGTTGATAAAATTTTTTACGAGAATTCAATATTAAGAAACATTTAATATTCAATAGGTATAAATTCTTTATTTTTTTATTTAAATAATTGAATTCTAGTAGATTTTTTTTGATAAAAATTAATTTAAAAATGTATTTCAGTTAAAATTTTCGATTATAATTGAATATTAAAGGCATTATAGCGTGAATTTTTAGAAATAATTGAATAATAATTAAAATAAAATAAATAATAATAATAATTAAATAATTGAATTCTTTGAAAATCGGAATTTTTCATATTTTTAACTAACAATTCTGTAGAATTAATTTTTTCAAAAAGTTTAATTGAAATTATTTGAAGTTTTTATTTTCAAATATATATTTAATTGAAGAATTTCTGAATAATCGATGAAATTTCGTAAAATTGAATTGTAAACAAATTGAAAATTCTCAGAATTTTTAAAAAAATTATTGTAAATATTTGATTTAAAGAAAAATTTTAGTTAAAAAATTTAGAAAATATTAATTGAATTGAAATGATGAAAATAATTTTGAAGAAGTTACAGTAAAAATATTTTTTATAGTAAAAAATAATTATCTTATCACTCGATTATCTTTAATGATTATAAAATTGTTGAATTTCAAAAAGATTTGAATTTGAATGTTTTGAAAATCTTAATTCCTATGGAAAAATAATAATGATTAAATATTTTTTTTAAAGAAGCAGTTATCTGTTGTTTTCGAATAATTTTACAGTTAAAGAAATTCGTAAATAAATGTAATAGAACATTTTTTTGAGTGTCTAATCATTTTTAGACGCAGAATATTCTTTAGGGAAAAAGTCAAAATTTTGTCTTGAAATCAAGGAAAAGTCAAGGAAATTATATATGCAAGTTGTATAAACAAATAAATTTTTATCCCCTTTTGGTTCCCTTTTTGAGGAAAAAAATTCTCCTTTTCACCTTTTTTGAGTAAAAAAGGTACTGTGATGCCTGGATAATACCAGTCAGGTAGCAGTGTGGGGCCCGGTATGATCTCTTTCGACCGCACGGCAGTCGAGTTCTTCGATCCGAGGCCTCAATTATTCATATTATTGAAAATATACTATGATTACACCATGGCTATTCTGTGATTCCCTGTGCCAACTTTCCTGCTTTTAACATATAAAAAACAAAAACAAAATTGTTAAGGGGAGGTTACCGTTCTCAATGGTGAAAAGGCATGAAGTTGGGAAATTTTTTTTCATGTACGAAAATATTTTTCGAGTTGCGATTTTTTTATTTAAATAGTACATAATTATTTAAACTTTTTACATATTTATATTAAAAAAAATTAAAAATGAAGGTTGTAGCTTAACTTATAGAAGACCCTGCGCGCCGTATTTTTTTATGCGCCGTACGTTCCACAGCCCCACCAGGTTAACCGAATGAAAAATTATTGATATATTATTGAACTATAGGATAAATTTAGGGGGCCTTATCGTTTTGCTTTTTTGAAAAACGTTTTTTTAGCAAAATGGCGGCTATTTAAAGAAAAAACTCATTTTTTACCCGCCTTTTATGAGTGAAGAAACTTTGTTTATTATTTCCAAATAAATAAAAATTGGACAAGTGCTAGTTGTACTCGCACTGCAATGGCGGGTTCCGAACACAAATATTAAAACAATACTTGCAACATTTATCGGTAATTGGTAGAATTAAAATAAACAATTAAAAAAATATATTAATATTAATAAATATTATTATTATTATTAATATTTGTGTACGGAACCCGCCATTGCAGTGTAATAATACACTAGTATACCAATTTTCAGCTCATTAGGTCAAATAATGTAAAAGTTAGGGAAAAAAAATTTTTTTTTTTAAATTTTTTAGTTTTTCTTTGACAACGCTATGGCCATCATTATATTTCAAGTTCTCTATATTTTTCCTGTAATATTCGAGTGAAAATACACCAGCATGCAAAATTTCAGCTCTCCATGTCGAATAGTTTAGAAGTTAAGGGGGAGGGAATGGTCCCTTTTTATG